CAAATATATACATATACATATATTAACCGTTCGCTATCTTCTGATTTCTGACAAATTGTATATGTACAAATGATTGTGTGTTTTGTATCTACGCGAGTCGTTTGTTTTCTCGTTCATGATCCGCTTGAAAATAAATGGACACCTATAATCTATTTAAGCGGCAAGGTTGTAGACTGACGCTGTTGTGTTTATCTTCCTCCTACAGGCTCGTATAGTGCTATCTTTGTTGCTGCAGCGATTCAAATTCTCCACCGCTGATGACCAGTGCGGGATACTGCACCCAACAATAGTACCTGTCATCCCGAAGAGCGGCATGAATGTATATGTAAACTAATTTAATAGCAGCAATATAATATATATATATATATATATATATATATATATATATATATATATATATATATATATATATATATATATATATATATATATATATATATATATATATATATATATATATATATATATACATATGTACATACATATTTATATCTATATACATATACATATGTATATATATATATATATATATATATATATATATATATATATATATATATATATATATATATATATATATATATATATATATATATATATATATATATATAATGTAGCAACATAACGTCGGTATAGTCTTATGTAGGAAATATAACTTGACTGCATAAGTAGATCGATATGCGTAATATAATTATTAGTAGCGCTGAGGGAAGGGTTAGTTGCGATGCGTTCCATTTGAAGAGTTGATGTTTTAGATGTAGTACATATAAAATTAAAGCGATTCAAATCGATCTCAGCATCCGATCACATATACTCATCGACGAATGATCCAAACGTTTTCCATGTGTGCAGGCATTTATACTTTCATAGTATGTTATCGGTAGTGTTGATGTAAGTAGTGATAATTAAAGCATTTGGACGCTTGGACGCGCGCATATCGTATATTATTAGTGCATTGAAGTTCGCAAAGCTTGTCTTAAGTATCGTCATCAAATCGTAGTATGTATGTAGCTAGAAAGTACGTTTGAGAAATCCCCCCTACCCCTTATTCTAGTCCCATGTTAAACGACAGAGCTGCATCAATTATCGAGCTTACAAACCACAAAACAAGAGAATAGCATTGTTAGCAATAAATCATTCGTTTTGGTCGCGCGAGAGCTTTGTTTCGAACAGCATGGAACGATTCGCAAGAATAGATTGTGATTCATTCCAATAAGTTTGACTTCGTAGCCTGATAGACGGAGCGTCGACTACGTGAATATAACTCTGTATGCTATTTTTTCGACTAATTGTCTTTATCTCTGCACAGTTATAATCATATTTGTGTGCCAATTTCTAATGTACAGCTAAAAGCAAGTGCGGAGCAGGTTACAAAAGTCATCAGCGTTTGACGTCAGCCGCTGTCGAAGCATTCGTATACAATACACTATCGGGAGCAAAACAGTTCCTGAATTGCTTCCATGGCGGGGACATTCCGGCATCTCTCGAGGGAGACTAGCGCACTCGCACTGAATTATATACTAACTCGTTTAAACAAGAATTTCTTGCAGTTCTCTAGAGAGCTTGATGGTGGGTGCAGGATGGTTACCGGCGCCTTTGGAAGACAATCATTGCCCCTTAACTCCCATCTCCATTTCGGATTCCTGCAACTCGGTCGGAGGTCCAGTCAACGAGGCTCGGACGCCTGAAATGACTGATAAGATGCTTTTCCTGTTGGTGTGGTATTAGGTATTGGATTTATGTTAGTGCATAGATAAGGAGATATTTTCAAATGATTTGGCACGTAGATACCGTAGGGTAAACGAACAATACAACAACTGAAGAAGCATTACGACAATTCGCATACCTGGGCAATTGCTCCTCAACCTCAGGTTTTTCCAGTAGCCAATCCAAATCAGTGTTATCAAAATATAAAGCCTCGAATCTGTTTCGCCTGGTTTGGTATCCCTCGACCACCATATTATCGTCTTCTTCAACCTCCTGAGGATAGAATTAAGATATATATAGTTGGTCTCTATGCATAGACAGAAAGCACGACAAATAATTGTGACCTGTATCTTAGGAAAAATCTACAGCACCAGCAACAACGCTCGCATATTGTATCGGACATTCCAATTACATTGTAAAACATACGATTTTCATGTTGCTCTTAGAGAAAGGAAAGTAGTATAACTTACATGTCCCACATCGCTCGCCGGCTTAGAATGACTCGTTCGCGCGAGGATCTGCGTGTGATCCGTATCGACCTCTAATCGTTTTTGGTATCCTTCGATATCCTTCAGCAGGGCTAGCTCAAGTGAGTTGTTGTCACCCATTTCCTGAGGTCTCCACCTTACCACAATAAGCTCGTCAAGACCAGGCCCCGATAGAGTGTCGTAGTAGCCGTCGTGAATCTGTCGCACACGTCGCTCCATTCTCTGCGGAGAAAATGTAGAGGAGTGTCATGGTTGTGTCGCCTGATGTATAAGATTGCGCAAAACTCATCTGTGTCCAAATTGATTATAAAGAACTGTGAGCGATGTTTTGACCAGCTGTGCGGAACTTGAAATTATTGCAGTATGTTAAAAACGCTGGAAATCTAGCACCACTATCCCATGCACCTACCTCGGCTTCTGGTGTCCCGGATTCACAGACGAAAGGCAAATTCATGGTGCGATCGCTGAGGTAGATAACTTGCAGAGCTTGTCCGTGCCTGTAAAGCATGCAAATGAAAGTCAGATAACTGGTTCAGTCGCACAGAATAATGTTAGCAATGCAAAGAGAAGCGTGTGGAAATCGCACACGAGGATTTCCCCAAAGCACGTAAGGTACGATTGAGGCAGTAATATACGTATGAGATGAACAATGGAAACTGCAGCGGCGATTATACCTGACGGCGCGCACGCGAGTTTCCAGAATATTCAACTCCAATTCCTCGGCGGTCTCGAATAACCGGGCAATCATGCCCCACTCAGACTTAGCGTATGCGTGAATCTTGTAGTACACCGTAGACGAGTTTTTAGCCACCGACAAATCGGAAACGGACGCGACCGTCAGCGACTTGCGGTGCTTTCTTGCCATGGTAACACCGGCCTCCATTTCTGTATATAGATGTAAGGCGACATTTAGGTATGATAATTATCGTTCTATTGCTTTTGATTGACACTACGGCTTGCCATATCAATCGCCGTGAATATAAGGAGGTTCGTGAATTACGACTCAAAACTTACAAGCACAACTTCAAGGCCGCAGGCTAGGACTATAGTATAGCTCAACAATTCTAAGGAACAGCACTTCATACCTTTTTTCGCCTGGCGATTCCTGTACTCGAGCGTAAACTTGAGGCAGAACGGCGAGATGATGGCTGACAGTAGAATAGCAAAGGCTAAGGGCGTGTACTCATCCTTTGTGAGTGTGCCCACATAGTACGATTCACTTGCGATCAGAAACGCGAACTCTCCCCAGGCAGACATGGCGAACCCAATCGTCCAGAAGTTAGTCACAGACAGCGGGCGACCGAACAAACCTGAAGGGACAACAGTGGAAGTCTTGTGAGTCACCTAGTATCAGAGTACATGTTCAACTGTACAGCTACTGAGTATAGTGCTTGATGGAGTGTCGAATACTGCGCACACAACGACAAGATATAGTGGTTGTATCAATAAATACCTGTAAGCCATTTTCCGGACATGCAGCATGTGAAAGCAGCGGTACGTGCGATCGTAGACCAGTTCCAGAAGTCCTGCACAGGGATGGGGAACCCAATCGTCGCCGCAAAGAAAATATGCAGAAGGAAGTATAAGATGCGTTTCACCTGCGGAATGCGAGTAAGAGTTTCAAATCAGGTCAGTATGTGGATACGGAAAAGAAATTTTACCTGTGCGTTCTGGTTTAATATAACCATTACAATTTCTATGCAGATCGTGACGGCAAACGAGCACATTGTACGGAAAGCAAAATTCCAAATCCCGAGGCTCACACACACCTGCTTTTCCCATGCCACCTCACACTCATGCGATGTGCAGAAGGACAGCCCACCCAAGAACGCGCCCAAGAGGTACGAGGCTTTGGAGTAGTCGCACGCAATCATGAGAGCAAGCCCAAGCGTAAGACACGCTCCCAAGAATATGTTTCCACGCAGGTCTTCAGGAATGTGGGGCGAGATCCTTGGCAAAACTCTCGGCATAACCGTAGTGGCAAACACTGTTTCAGAAAGTATGAGAGTCAATCAATAAACCACAAAACAGCTAATAACCACCGCGATTCTGAGTCTGGGATGTGATCGTAAGTGTGAGATTGTTTGCTACTACAGAAAAAATACGATAGGAAACCTTGCTTTTGAAACTTACAAGTGCCGAAGCCCAGGTATAGAACTGCCGAGACAATCGGGATTATAATTGCCGCGGGCGATGGATCGGCAATGGCACGCAACTCGGAAAGGAGCACAAGCGCAATGACATCATCCACAATGGCTGTAAATACGAGTCGAATATGTATGAGTGTGATTCGCAACCTTGATGTAAAAAGGACAATTCAAGCTTCGTTGCCGAAGGATCGATGCACTATTACCAATCGAGCCTTCCATGACGACGCCAAATAGTACCTCGGCGATATAGTATCTATATAAATAAGCTGAAAAAACGCAACGACAGTAGACTCGATGAGGTATTACACATACCTGCGGCGATGATCAGCTGTCCGGTCGGTGTGTTCAAAACTTTGCCGGTTTTCAGGACATTGATAGCAATACCCATTGAGGTGGGTGCAAGAGAGGCACCTGCCGCCAGTGCTGCAACGGTGTCGTAACCAAAAGCTATCGCAACCTAGACGGATAAGAAGGAAAACGAAATTGGGATTAGATACGTAATTCCAGGTATGCTATATGGTTTTGTACAATTCAACAAGTGAAATGACTACAAACATGCATATGTAAGAAATATCCAAATCCCAAGAACATACTCCAAATCCCATGGCCAGCGGCAATATTGATCCGACGACGGCGACCGTGACACCCATAAACCCAACTAACTTAAGCATATCTAGGTCCACTTCCAGACCAGCTTCACAGATTAGCACGCACAGTCCAATCTCGCCTAAGAGTGTTACAGCTGTAGAACAGACGAAAAGTGATTTCAATACGAGACTTTAGATGTGAAAATAATCACTTGTGAGAAGCCGTTGGCTTCACGAATGCTATACACATGATATTTAAATTATAAAACACTAAAAAAGGAAGAGCACTAAAGGCATATCAGTGACTAACCATATATATATATATATATATATATATATATATATAATAATATATATATATATATATATATATATATATATATATATATATATATATATATATATATATATATATATATATATATATATATATATATATATATATATATATATATATATATATATATATATATATATA